TTCAACAACTGCTTGTACCCTATGATTCATCAATGGCCAAACGGTTCAGGTTCTAGCTAGTGCTTACCAGGATCATTCAACTTCAGGAGTGGCTGAGGAGATTGAGTGTGTGTGGTGGTTGACAAATGCCACAAGTTTCAATAGGATAGATAATTGTGGTTATTCGCAGATTGTGTGGGGCGTATCCCGAATGAATGCCTTCGTGATAATTTATAGAACGTTTTTTGCCACGAAAACACTTGAGACTTCTGTCTAATTTATCATGTCCATGGAATGTATTGTTTATGATTCATGTTCTCAAATTCTCCTAGTTACAATGTCTATTTACAAGAGTCCATTGTAAAGTATTTATTAAATGTTGGTGTTACAAAAAATTACGGCTGATCACGAATTTTGTTTCGAATTTGAAATATTTTGCCCAGATTGTTGAAACAGAAACTGAAAATTATCTGTTGGCACAAATGATTTTCCAATATGGCTGATGCTCCATCGATATTTTTGGTGGTTATTCGTCCTCGTCGAGTCTGTACATGTCTGTAGAAAATTATTAATGGGATTGAAATGGAAGAAAAATATACAGGTATATATGGAGGATGAAATTCACGTTCATTTGATAATATTGCCTTCATTTATTCGCATTTGTAACTCTTAAGAATTGATTAAATCGACTGTGGATAATACCGATACAAAATAACCTCAAGGTTTTTTTATTGTTATGAAGATATGAAAATCGATTGTTGACAGTTTCGTAGGCATTTCAATCACCAGAGGAATGAGAATATTGACGATATAATGATGATAAAATGTTTTTCAATTGTGAGGATTAGAAATAAACAATTCTGATAGCGTAGGATTCACTTCAAGGAGTCCATTCTCAAAAATTTAGAGGCTAGCATGAGTTTACTCCGTTTGTTCTTTCGTTCTAACTTGAGCATGAGTGTAATTTCGTTTGTTTTTTTCTCATATTTTTCAGTCATTGTTTATGAACAAGAATGCCGCAAAAATCAGCTGTCTCTCCCGAGGAGGCAATCGCTGTAGTTGAGAAATTTATTGTCCATTTCACCACACATCAGTTGCCACCGGAATCTTCCGATATATGGGAACAGATGAGCAAAGCATTGGGCTGTAAGCCTAATAGTCAAACTCGAAAGTGGTCTAAGAAATGTGTCTACGTGAATGTGAGAGAAGATAGACGGAAAATATTGACTGACGCCCGTACAAACCAAGAAATTATACTTGAGGAAAAGCGTAACGCAGATTTGACTCAAGATCAATCAAAGTTGAATTCATCTGTAGATGTTACTCAAAAGTCGAGTGATTTTGAGACTGAGGCCGAGGCAGCCGGTTTACAAAAATTTGAAATTCTGATTAAAGCTGCAGAGTGGAAGCGTCTTCTGAATCCCGAACCGATTGAATACGGGGGCAGAATATATCGAGTGTTACAAAAGGATTTTTGGACTGATCTATTTGCCTGGATTGTGTGGAGTCAAATCCAATTACCCTGTGCCTTCGTTTTTAAACACGCCAAAATTTATGAAAGTGATGGCAGCAGATATTATTTAAAAATTACAGGACATTGCCGCAGTAAGAAGTGTAACAACTTATTCATCGGGTATGTTGAGAAAAATCCGGGAGCTAAAGATTTCTACATGACTGTGAAGACTGATGATACAGCGATGAAACCCCATGAAGACGTACGACGTCCTTTGAGGGGCGAGAAACGAAAAGTTGTGGGGAAGGAGGCTTTTTTGGAGGGAGCTAGTAATGGGCAGAAAAGAGCTGTGAGAGAACAAAAATTGGGACCACATATACCCAAATTGCCTGTCCTTCATCAAGCCACAAAGAATTATAATGACAAGAAATACGACGTGAAATCGACTGATGGTCATGACATCGTAAAAACAATATCTGAAATGGCCAGAACTGCACCTTATCGTGGATGTATACACGACGTTAAAGGCGATAAATTTTACGTGTTTTACAGTACTCCACCTCAACTTCATGCATATAAACAATATTTGCGGGTTACACGACAAAACTCGACCATAGCGATTGATGGTACAGGGAGCTTGGTACAAGAAATCAAGCACATTGATGGTACCAAGTCAGGCCATATATTCCTATATGCCGTGGTAATCAGTTTTGATCAGACGACGATGCCAGTATTCCACATACTTACAGAAAGTCAAGAAACTGAAGTGTATACTTGGGCATTACAAAAATGGTTTCGTCTATCAGCACCGAAACCTAAACGAGTTGTCTGTGATGGTGCAAGAGCTCTTCTGAATGGGATATGTTTAGCCTTCAATAATCAGACAATCAAGGCGTACATTGAAACTTGTTTTTTATATGCATCCAAAAATCGAGAGTTTTACTATCAATCTCCAATTTCTACATACATCGGCAAAGATGTAGCACATCTCATAAATAACATCCGTAATTGGCTAGCTTTCAAGAACATTCCACTCTCCATTACACGTGATTTTATCCTACTTTGTGTGGCTCTACTCATTGAATCCCAGACTCTTGAGGAATTCGAAGAGATTCTTCGATTGACATTGACGGTAGCATTACACCAGACAGAAGATTCTATAATCACTGCTATTCCTAATGCTACCGTCAAAGACTGTCGATTGTATCTTGAAAAGTATGTAGCAGATCGAAATTTGGTGGTAGAGGTACCAGAAGACTCTGCGGGCCAAGAGCAAGATAAAAACAATTCGAATGAACGCGATCCAGACACCACAGGATATAGTCGGGTTAAGAACTATGTTGATGAGATACGCAAAACGGCCGAGGAAACAATCTCCCAGGGTATAGTACCCAATGCATTCTACGTTGAAAATTTCATCAACAGATTCATGTCTCTTGCTTACGAATTCCCACTGTGGAGCTGTTGTGGCATGCCATTGTATGTGGAACGTCATTCATCCGCCATCGTTGAGGGATATTTTTGTGAAAAGAAGAACAAAATGTTGAAAAACTACAAAGGACGTTTGCGAGTTGATAGATACCTAAAAATCGATTTGGACGATTGTCTGGGAAGAGCTGAAATTATGAAGGGAAGTTTGGAAAATTCTATCAAACAAAATATTCCTGCTCCTACACCAATGGTCAAGTCACATCCCCCCAAACCTCTCACCTCACAAAATCCCCCCAGAGCAGATGAATGGAAGGATGAGGAACCATTTACAGAACGTCCATCGTTCAATCACTCAGACACTACCTCAGCTGATAATTGGAGGAATAAAGGTACTCGAGACCGAGCTTTCGTATACGATTCTTCTGATGGAGATCGAACAGCAGAGCGACCTTCAGACAAGCCTCGTCGTACAGTATACGTAGAAGATTGTTCTGATGATGACGAGATATCTTCAAAGCACTTTGAATTTTCTTACCCCCAAAATCCTTACATTGGAGGTTCTGTTAATGACTCGTCCCAGAGAGATAATCGAGAACATGAGATTGCTGCAAGTGCTCTGAAGCGCAAGGTTATGATTGACAACAATCCGGAAGATGATGACCTTGTTATGTATTCCCCAAGTTACAACGCGGAGGACCGTTCCAAGTCAAGTGAATGTGAGAAAGGTTTGACTGAGGATTCTCTGGAAATGGTACATCAGAATGGTTCATATGAATTGCCAAGCAAAGATAGTCTGACAAGTTTCATTTTGAAAGAAGTCTTAGACATGGAGGATAATAAGAATTTTCCACTTCTTGACGATCCTGCTTTCCAGCTTAAAGAGCCTGATGTCATTGATGACCACTGCCTGCTGCATCATAATGAGATTATTGATCCAGAGAATCGAGAAAATATTCAGCCCACGAAATTTCGAGGTTTCAATCCCAAGAAGAATGAAAAGGCCAAATATTTTCGATCTTACCCTGATATAGCCAATCGCAATGCTAATCCCTATGATAGTAGGAAATCGTGGTTATTGGTTAATGGTAGTACGGTCGGTACTCTCAAATTTGAGAATACAACGTATTACGTTGCGAATACGTGTACATTTGACTCGATTGTGCAGATACTGTTAGCAAATGCAATGGACGACCGTTACTACCGGAAAAACCTGGAATCAACAGAAAACCCAACACTGCAATTTGTACTAGAATTGAGGGAGAAGGGATTGGGGAAGAATGCGAAGGAGATGTACAGGCGAAGAGCTGAAATTTTGATGTCTCACTTGAGTGGAAAAGTGGAGCTTAAAACTAAAGATCGAGTTTTGAGTTATTCGTTGAATTGTTGGGGTAACGTCTCTGCAATATGGAGTGCATGCTTAGGATCTGAGCCTAGCGCATTTCGGTATTCTACTTGTGATGCATGCGAGCAAAGGGTCTCAAATATACCTTTCCTTGGTGTTAATCACAAGACCATCGGTAGGCTGAAATTTGGGGCCCTGCAAGAAGCCTTGGAACATCATTCAAGATTGTGGAAAGTAAAATGCCGTGAAAAGAAGTGCCCTGGTTCATGTACAGTCGATATAATCCTCAATTTCCACATCTACATCGAATTGGACATTCGCCCTAATGTAAGAGCAGAGGTTTCCTTACGCTGCAAGTTGAGAGATTTTCCCATTCATCTTAATTTAGGCGGAATGCCATACAGGTAATTGCCGATTCAATTTTTCTCCCAACTGAATAAATTAAATTTCTTTAACAAATTATCCTTGCAGACTAGCCGGTGTTATAGAAAGGATTCCAGGACATTATCTAGCGTATACTCGAAGAACTAATGGACAATGGGAGAAAGCCAGTGATACCGACAATAAGATAGTTCCGAGCCTTGAAGGACATGAAATTGAACCTCATGCAGCAATTTATGTAATGGAAGAAGCGTAAATGTGCATTTTTTGAGTTTGCTATTTTATAACTTTATGTGAAGTGTTGTCGTTCTGTGGAAGAACGAATTTGTCGATTTTATATATTCGTCTATTGTGTATTGCCGTTCTACTCTGTAATTGACATAGGATGTAAGAAATTTAGGGGGAATGTGCAAGTTTTCACATGATTGTATTTATTAGTAGAATGATACTCATTTGTTTTCATACACTCAGTCAAAGACAGAATAAAAACTTGAATTGACATTTAACAGATAGGTTTCCAAGTATTATTTCATTGAATTCGGAGCGAAGTGAACCGGTTTTACATAAATAAATTATATGCTTTTCAAACTCCCCGAGTCTTTCAATGTTTCATGATGCATTTTTCGTGTTTTTCATTCCTCTTCTCCAACCACGTTCCAAATAATAATTCGAGAGCCACATCCAGAAAAATACCCATTGTTACAGGAAGTTCGATAGTCTGGAAATGAGAGAAAAAAAAGCATTCAAAGTTTAGAGAGTCAAACCGAAGCTAAAAAGTGTAAAATCAATGCTTACTCATAAAACAGCTGCTTGTTAGAAGTTGAATGCAAAAAGGGATGATTTTTCGACTGTTCACCAGACCCTTCCCGAAATTTTATTTAGTTTATTGAATCGTCATGCACTACTACCGCACTGGATTGAGGTTAATGTCAACACTGATGCACTTTTTGATCATCGAAATACCACTAGTTCGAGCTCACAGAGGGGGAATAAAGTATAATCACCAATAATAATTGGTGATGATAAATTAGGGAACAGTATGATTACATTAATGGAACAATCGATAGATTGATTTATCACACAAAGTTGAAGATCTCTGCTCCGAAATGATACTCCATGTACATACATACAGCATCAGCGTATCACGAACTATAGCTGCTGGTAGTAAAATTTGGTGCTATAGTATATGCCACTCTTTTAACGATTGAGAGGAAATCAATTGAAAGGATCAACCTATCGATTACCTCAGCAGTGTCTTAGGGAGGAACAAACGACGAACAAACGATTCATCAGAAGGAACAATTTAAAATGATTAGATCTTTACGTGGGAGGGGCTAAATTGAGGAAACATGGGAGGAAAAAATAAAAAATCAATTAGAAATAATTGGCTGGGGAACAAACGCTGAAAATCCTCGAACAATCAAGAACAATTGACGAACTATCGAATGCATTCGTCAAAAATCAATAATGATGGTAATGAGTGGCTAACTTTGGATGGGTGAGTCAACGCGAGAGTCAGGCGAGAGCGGCAGCGAACAAGGGGGACTCTCGCCCGACTCTCGCCATTTGAAGCGGGACGAGAACGGAGCGAGACCCTTCACTGTACTATCGCCTGTGTTCTGTGTTCTCGCCATTTATAGATAGACGAGAGTGAGGCGAGAACCTTTAGTGTACTATCGCCTGTGCTCTCGCCAATTTTAGATAGACGAGAGTGGGGCGATAGCCTTTAGTATACTACCGCATCCGATCTCGCCATTTATTGAGAGACGAGAGTGAGGCGAGAACCTTTAGTGTACTATCGCCTGTGCTCTCGCCAATTTTAGATAGACGAGAGTGGGGCGATAGCCTTTAGTATACTACCGCATCCGATCTCGCCATTTATTGAGAGACGAGAGTGAGGCGAGAACCTTTAGTGTACTATCGCCTGTGCTCTCGCCAATTTTAGATAGACGAGAGTGGGGCGAGAGTCGTCTCTGTACTGTCGCCTCTGCTCTCGCCGTTTAGTGGAAGCCGAGAGTGAGGCGATAGCCTATACTTTACTATCACCCATGCTCTCATCATTTATAGAGAGATAGCCTCTAGTGTACTATCGCCTCTGCTCTCGCCATTTATTAGGAGACGAGAGTGGGGCGATAGCCTTTAGTGTACTACCGCATCCGATCTCGCCATTTATTGAGAGACGAGAGTGAGGCGATAGCCTCTAGTGCACTATCGCCTCTGCTCTCGCCATTTATTGGGAGACAAGAGTGGGGCGATAGCCTCTAATGTACTATCGCCTCTGCTCTCGCCATTTACTAGGAGACGAGAGTGGGGCGATAGCCTTTAGTGTACTATTAGGGATGCGCGATATAAAAAAAAATCGGTATCGTTGAAATCGATATAACTGAAAAAAATCGATTTTGTAATATCGATCTTCAGAAAAAAAAATTGACGAACCGATATATCGATATCGTTTTTTCTCAAAAAAATTTAGGAAATCCAAAATTCAGCCTTTTTCTCCAATTTTGGGAGAGATTGGACAAAATGGTGAAATCAGTAGGATGAGGATTAAACCAGAAGACATGAAAAACTTTGAAATGAAAGTATTGACCCAACCGATGCTTTTCATTCATTATTCAAGTTTTAAGAGTTGATTCCCGTTTAACATTTCTTGTAACTATCCATTCATTAAGATAATCTCACAATAAACATCATAAACAACAACTCATTTTTGTATATTTCACCGCTCCACATGGATTTTGGCTTCGCAGTCAAATGATCAGAGCATGTCGTACGATTACTCCTAATGGATTGCCGACTCCTGTTAAAATAAATATGGTTAATTAATCTTTATTAGAGTTACGTACTTCTAATCATTAAATTCATGCTCATACCCAATTATAAGCTAAAAGTTCTACCTGGATCTACTTACACTTTCAATTAAATAAAAACCAAACATTCCCAGTCACCAGAATCAAACTGTATTAATTGTCGAGAAATATCAAATCATCATGTATTCATATAACATGAATGCATACAATTTTAAGTGGGTTCTGACAACACAAATCAATTAACCTCATATAAACATAGAATGAACATAGAAAGAACACGAGACTAGCTCCATAAGTATAAACAAGTATCACAAATAGAATCCAAACGATAAATAACAAAAATATAAAGAAATATCAACATTTATGAGAAGCCTCATTCCAAGCTCCACTCTTTGTCTGGAAGAGCCCCAAGAAATACGAGTTCATTCAGATGCTCACCAGTAAGTCGATTTCTGTCTAATGTCTTAGTGTGACCAGCTTCTGAAAAGATCCTTTCTGATGGTACAGAAGTACTGATGATACTAACGTATCGAATGGCCAATTCGTACAGTGTTGGGAATGAATGCTGAAGTGATTTCCAATATTTAAATGGATCTTCATGGCGAGGAATTGGGGTTTTTTTCAAATATTGTCTCAATTCAGAGACTAGAGTTTCGTCATCAGCATTCTCATCAACAGCTTTCGCTACTAAATCGTCATGAGCTTTCCAAAGACTCATTCTACAGGGATCCGCATGCTTTTGTTGAATTAACTTCCTCTCTTCAATTACTTTCACGCCCAAAGATTTGATTTCTCTGTCAATGTGAGGGCAAGCGTTTGCGGCATAACAGACATTCTCGAAGTGAAGTCTTTTGAATCTGGGATCGAGGATGGTGGAAACGGCCAGTATTTTATGCTTTTCAATGCCAGCGAATTGTTCGTTGATTTTGTCAATCAATTTGGTTTTGAAATTAATTGCTGCGTCCTTGCCAGGCTCCATGGCCATCAATGTTTTCTTTAGACAGGAAATAATTGGGATGATGACACTAGCAGTGGCATATTCACTGCCACTGATCTCTCTGATGACCATTTCCACTGGCCTCATGAGGTCCACAATCTCACTAAGAACTTCGAGTTGGTCACAGGTGAGCAGATCTGGGAATTTTGTTTTCCTGCATTTTCTCATGATCCCAGGGATGTACTCTTCTAGCTGAAGGAACCTCTCTAACATATAAAATTCGGAGTTCCATCTTGTAGGAACATCAAGCAGGAATTTGAGCGTAGTTCCCTCAGTTTTCCCATCGGCGACTTGTAATTTTTTCAACTCGTCGCAGGCTACAACACTTCTAATAATTTTAATAATTTCTCGAGCAATATCAATCATTTTAGTGAGTTCTGTCATCTCATTCAATATTTTAGGTACCATATGTGATATAAAATGTGCGAAACACCAGATCTGTCTCTCTGTACCGACCAAACTCTCTGTAGCAGCTCTTATATTCGATGCTCCATCGCTGGTGATTGCCATGATTTTTGATTTATCCAAGCCGAAATCAGTTATCACAGACGTAAGAGAGTCCTTGAGATATACTGCGGTATGATTTTTGTCGAGTGGAAAGACTCCCAAAATTCCATTCTTCATCTGAAGATCTTCAGACAAGTAGTGAATGCTGACACCTAAGTAGCTCTGGAAAGTGCAGTCAGTCCAATTGTCACATGTTAGAGTGTAAGATACAGCTTTCTGTAGATTTGAGCTGTACGATTCTTTCATCTTGGTATATCGAGACGTCACTAATTTGGTTACAGTCTTTCGAGACGGTAATGTGTAGTGAGGAGCAATAACTTTCATCAAATTCTGGAAACCTTTCTTGTTAACTATGTTCAGAGGCTCTTTGTCTTTAGTAATCATGTATATCAACGCATTCGTGATTTGGTCCGCCTTTGCTCCGCCCTTAGCGAAAGAATTGATCTTTTCAAAGGCTTCATCAATTCGCGGCAATCTATTCTTTGACATGAATTTCTTGCTCTTTACTTATAGTTCATCACCATTTGTCGATTCACCGCTGGACTCAGATGCAGTATTTTTCCTTTTTCTAGTTCCTACACATAGCAATTGATGCTTTCGGTCCAAATGGGCCTGTAAATTGGATGTTCTTCCAGAATGCTTTACACTTGTGTGGCAAATGGTGCAAATGGCATGTGTAGCATCCTTATTTTCAAAATAAACCCATACGGAACTTTTCTTTGTCCTCGATGAATTGTCTTCAAGCGATAACTTTTTGTTCATTGCAGAATCTTCAGTGGGAGGAGTTGACACAGCTTCGTTAATATTTCTCCTATTATTTTTTATAGGCGAATTTTCCTTGGTCATTGCGTCATCATCTGGAGATTGAGGGTTGGAGTTGCAGTAAAGTGTCACTGAGTCCGTGTCAGAATAACTGCCATGATGACGTAAAGGTCCAGATGGCCTTGGTATTAGTCTTTCGACTGGTGTAAACTCAACTTTATCACTTGATCGATACAAACAATCAATAGTTTTTCTGGTTGGCTTCCACTTTACCCCACCTGGACCATAGATCGATTGAATAAAGTCCCACGTCCACTCATCATCACCTGTAATTGTCATTTCAAATATTAAACAATAACTTTGGAAAATCACTTCAATCATAAAAGTTTGATTATAGCAGAAAAATGATTCATATGAATCAAATAAAAAGTTAAGTTGAACATTACCGAATAGCATATTTTTTAAGGTACAAAAAAAATTATTGGAAGAATTATTCGCTCTGAATAGATCTTCTCTATTATTATTATCTTGAATGTTCATTTTATCCAAAGAAATTCTTCATTTTTAATCAATGAACATTTCTTTTATTTTAAAGAAATTCATCATTTGAATTTGAAATGAACAAATTTATTCATTTTCAATAACTAATTCGTCGAAATGAGAAAGAAATTTCAAATAAAAATTTGTAATTGATTCAAATCACCTATTTTCCTGGGTTTACGAATTGAGCAAAAAACTACTCACACTTGAATTGGAGATATTTCAATTTTGATAGTCCAGTTTTGGCGAAGAAAGGCTCGTCATTGATACGCAAATAAATTGTGTATGTCTCGGAATCTATAAAATGGAAAAATAATGTGGTTAAGCTCAATCTATGGGAAATGATCTCATTAAAACATATTGAGCACTTCCAGAAAAAAATAAAAACAAATTCAAGATTTAGGTTAAGATTTTGTAAATACTCCATGGTTCATAAAAAAAACTAACATACCTTCAGTGTCATCCATTTTCACCTTCACATCAATGATCAATCATCCACTTATTGAAAATCAATCTTTTTTTGTGTTATGTTTAACGAAATATGGTCGTTCTTAACAGTTGCGTGTGACAACACCGGCTCATATGTAGAGATACCTCACAGTCACCACCCATGATTAAGCATGGGTCTGCAAACGGCTGAACAAAATTCCCGCGCGTTTTTTAAAATAATATTTTCCCGATCGTATCACATGTACTATGATAACTGAAAATTCAATAACCATGAATTTAGAAAATTGAAAAATCGTTCACAAAACAATCTCCTATTGTAATTTGTTTAACGATATTTGCGGAAAAAAATCGGGAATCGATATATCGGCCCGCGAAAATATCGGCTGAAAAATATCGATATATCGATATCAAATATCGGACCTTTCGATATATCGGACCGTATCGCGCATCCCTATGTACTATCGCCTCTGCTCTCATCATTTATTGGGAGACGAGAGTGAGACGATAGCCTCTATTGTACTATCGTCCATGCTCTCGCCATTTATGGAGAGACGAGAGTGAAGCGAGAGTCTTCTCTGTACTATCGCCTCTGCTCTCGCCGTTCATTGGGAGACGAGAGTGAGGCGATAGCCTCTAGTGTACTATCGCCTCTGTTCTCGCCATTTATTGGGGGACGAGAGTGGGGCGATAGCCTCTAGTGTACTATCGCCTCTGTTCTCGCCATTTATTGGGGGACGAGAGTGGGGCGATAGCCTCTAGTGTACTATCGCCTCTGCTCTCGCCATTTATTGGGAGACGAGAGTGAGGCGAGAGCCTTTACTGTACTATTCCACATGCTCTCGTCATTTATTAGGAGACGAGAGTGGGGCGATAACCTTTAGTGTACTATCGCCTCTGCTCTTGCTATTTATTGGGAGACGAGAGTGGGGCGATAGCCTCTAGTGTACTATCGACTCTGCTCTCGCCATTTATTAGGAGACGAGAGTGAGGCAAGAACCTTTAGTGTACTATCGCCTGTGCTCTCGCCAATTTTAGATAGAGAAGAGTGGGGCGAGAGTTTTCTCTATACTATCGCCTCTGCTCTCGCCGTTTAGTGGGAGACGAGAGTGAGGCGATAGCCTATACTTTACTATCACCCATGCTCTCGTCATTTATAGAGAGACGAGAGTGAAACGAGACCCTTTACTCTACCATCGCCTCTGCTCTCGCCAATTTTAGATAGACGAAAGTGACGCGAGATCCTCTACTATACTATCGCCTCTGCTCTCATAATTTTTTAGGTTGACGAGAGTGGAGCGAGAGCATCAACTGTACTATCGCTTCTGCCCTCGCCGATTTTAGAGACGAGAGTAAGGCGAGACCCTTTACTGTACTATCACGTCTGCTCTCGCTATTTATGAAGAGACGAGAGTCAGACGAGAGTCACTACTGTTCTATTAGAAAGGTCTGTAAGGGATTTTTGGTAGTGTTTGACCATTAAATATCCCAAACTAGTTTGGTACTGTCTCTATCGCTCAATGAGTTGGGCGCCAGCTGAACTTTTACGGAAAGTTCAACGGAAACCGGCCTCGAAGGATCTCTCGTCTATTTCGAGGACTTCTCGTGACGAGACTAACGTTGCCGAGCAAGCATCAGTGTGACACGGTAGAGTGGGCGAGGTTCACCAATTCTAGGAGTACTTCACTGTCTAATTACCGGTAAATTACGACCGGATAATTATGATCAAGCGTATCTATCAGGGGGAATTTTCCCCCAGGTTCTTCGCCGAGGATGTTTCCATTCCTCTGACGTATTCTTCCTCTCTCCAGAGTTGTTTGACTCTGGAGAAAAGCGACGGTCACCTGCGAATCCTTCTCACTCCTCGGAACACTGAATATTGAAAGGCATATGCGACCCAGGTATCCGGAGACTCATTCTCACCCACCTGGTGTCCACCCCAACTCTCAATACGCAGTAAAAGCACTATCATCGCGGGACATTACTGAAGGTACTCAGCGTGGAGGCATATGCGATCGGATGTCCAGGAGTCTGCACTACTCCCCATCCACGGATCCACGTCAACACCATTTCTTTCGCCTCAAGATAGGGTGCCCTGAGAATATGGAATAAATGTATTCCACATCCTCAAAGTCAGGCATTCATTCTTTCTGGGATGCAATGCATCCCAGTTCTCTCGCTGTCTTGGATCCAGTCCAGACAACGTACCCTCATAATCCATACGGATTAATGCCACTAACAACTATCATCGAGGACCGGACGGTTTTGCACCCACTCGAGTCAAGTGCGGTCAAGTACCTGTCTCCACAGGGTTTCGAAAATCTCCTAAAGCCTGGCCTAAAGGTGGCGGAAAGGGGTAAGAAGTGCGAATTCGATGTTTTTTTGTGTTTTTGAGGCATTTCTGATCGTGTGAACTAATTGAAATCATGCTCAATCGAAAGAACGGAAAATTTCCGTCGAAAATACATATAAAAAAATGGAAAAAAAACGATCATCTCTGCTGAATCCAATAATTTCGTCAAAACCCAAGAAACTGAAAAATTGAGGTAGTGTAACAAAAAAAAATGGAAAAAAATTTTTCAGGTCTTTTGAATGATACGAAAACCATTTGCGAAGCCTCAATAAAATTAACATTAGAAGGTACAAAACCATACCAATATTTGGCGAATTAACCCATATCTAAAAATGGCAGAGTAGAGAAGATAGTACAATGAAGGCTCTCGCCTCACTCTCGTCTCTATAGATGGCGAGAGCAGAGGCGATAGTGCAGTGAAGACTCTCCCATCACTCTCGTCTCTTCCCAAAAGACGAGAGCAAAAGCGACAGCACAATATAGTGTTGCCCTTACGAACCAAAAATGTTATTGCCAATGTCGACGTTTTTTCTACTTTCCTATTGTTTAAGACACTCTTTTCATTTTGAAAATGTTTGACCCTTATGACCCTAAAATATTTTTTCCATGACCTTGAAATTGTAATAGTAATGTAGATTATCCTTAGATTTTTTACCTTCATCCTCATTCTCTATTCCTAACTTCGACAGGTCAAGGTCAAAATTGAGGGTCAGATGTGATCTTTGCGATAGAACAGTAAAGGGTCCCGCCTCACTCTCGTCTCTCTAAAATCGGCGAGAGCAAAAGTAATAGTGCAGTCAATGCTCTCGTTCCACTCTTGTCAACCTAAAAATGACGAGAGTAGAGACGATGGTCCAGTACAGGGTCTCGCCTCACTTACGTTTCTTCATAAATGGCGAGAGCGCGGACGATAGTACAGTAGAGGGTCTCGCCTCACTCTCGTCTCTTTATAAATGGCGAGAGTAGAGGCGATAGTACACTAGAGGCTATCGCCTCACTCTCGTCTCCCACTAAACGGCGAGAGCAGAGGCGATAGTACAGAGAAGACACTCGCTTCACTCTCGTCTCTCCATAAATGGAGAGAGCACGGACGATAGTACAGTAGAGGCTATCGCCTCACTGTCGTCTCCCAATAAATGGCGAGAGCAGAGGCGATGGGTGATAGTAAAGTATAGGCTATCGCCTCACTCTCGTCTCCCACTAAACGGCGAGAGCAGAGGCGATAGTACAGAGAAGACTCTCGCCCCACTCTCGTCTATCTAAAATTGGCGAGAGCACAGGCGATAGTACACTAAGGGTTCTTGCCCCACTCTCGTCTCCCAATAAATGGCGAGAGCACATGCGTTTCTACACTAAAGGTTCTCGCCTCACTCTCGTCTATCTATAAATAGCGAGAGCACAAGCGATAGTACAGTGAAGGGTCTCGCTCCATTCTCGTCCCGCTTCAAATGGCGAGAGTCCCCCTTATTCTCTGCCGCTCTCGCCTGACTCTCGCGTTGACTCTCTTCCCAAGGAAATATACGAGAGCACCAGCTCTCGCCAAGTTCCGCTAGGGTCTGAAAGAATATTTGTTCTAGACTGAGCAGCTCAATTAAGAGCTACTAAGGAAGATCTGGCTAAAGAGAACAAGAAATCATTCAATATTTCCATAATTAATGATCATCTTGACTTTTTTTTTTAATTCTTCCAAGTTTTTCAGTGTAGCGTATACTCAGTGCCAATGTAGACCCATACATTTTAAGGAGCTTATGAGGCGAAAACACACTCTAATGGAATATATTTTCCAGATTGCAGATGATGAAATAGACTAGTTATTGCGTAAATCGCTATAACACATATCATCTTTCATAAGGTGTTTGTTAATTCTAAGAGAATTAGAATTTAGAGAGAAAAAATTTCCGCTTCACCCAGCCGGGAATCGAACCCGGGTCTCCCAGATACGCGCCGGGCACTCTTACCGACTAAGCTACCGGGAACCACAGAAATTCACTCTCAAATTCACCTCAAACACCGCCTAACCTCCTTTAGGCATTAAAGAATTCTAAGAGAATTAGTTTCTAGGCAAAACTTGTAAGAGTCATTGATAAAATTAAGGTATTCACAACGCTTTTTGCTTTTTAATACGGCTCAGACAAGAAAGAGCCTTGACAGTTCAATTTTGTATTAGTATCATACTCAATAGCCGGAAAGGAGGTTTTAACTACCTCTATGATCACATACCTATTTATCCGCCCCTCAGGACTGTCCCTTCCAGTTTAGAGATTTGAAATTCTGGAGGAATTACCCATTGGTAAGGGCCAAAATTGAAGAGACTTTTATGACTCTTCAGTCTCTAGAATAAAACTATTAGAACAGTTTAATTTTCATTGGAAAGGAAATGCTCAAGAATGGCTGCAGAGATTTTTGCCATTACTTCTTGCTCTCCTGAAGTAAGATAACTCTGGAGACGTTGACGTCGATCGAGAATCATTGGGACGATTGAGGAAATGCCTCCGGTTGGACCTGTTGTTCAACCTGAGGCATGCAAGGTTTTTGAACCATTTGTTTTCACTCTATGTCTCAAAACAAGCTCCTTTGAATCCAATGAATTTAGATTCTCCTGTAAAGGTGGATAAATCTCCAAACTTTGACACAATTTTGAAGATTTATTTTAATCTTCTCAAGCTTCCCGAAAAATGTGAAGCCATACAAAAATTAAACTGGAGCTGTAGCCTCAAGGGCGTTAAAAATTTATTATTTTTCCTGAACCACACAACTTCTGGACGAGGACTAGATTGTCTAGTT